ATATTCCCCACATGTTCCCTACATATTTGCCTCACTATGTTACATACGGTTACATATGTCACTCACTCATGGGAGTTGAGGTCACCAAACAGGGGAGTACTGAAGGAGAAGACAAGAAAGTGTTGGGCAGAATCTTTGGGAACACCCAGATTTGGAGGATGTGATTTGAATGATGAGCCACCAAAGGGGTCAGTCAGGTATGAAGAAAACCTATGACAAAAGTCCACAGAAGATAGATTACACAGGAGAAGTATGGTCAAAGTGTCAAATCTAGGTGTTAACTTGAAAAGGATGAGAACTGAAAAAAGGCCATTAAATGTGACAATGAAGAGATCATTGGTTACTGAAGAGAAAAGTTTCAGTTGAGTGATGCGACTGGAAGCCAGACAGCAAAGGGTTGAGCAAAGCTTGAGAGAAAAGGGAGTGGAGAAAGCAAGTGTAGACAGTTTTTTCAAGGATTTTAGCTGAGAAAGAAAGAGGAGACATAGAAGCAATGCTTGAGGACAAAGGCTTGGTCCTTCCTCATCCCTTAATATAATCAGTTCTTGCCACCTCCAGAATTGCACTGGAGTCCTGCCAGTCAGAAGCTATGTCTTCTCTTAGCAGATATGGCAGCCTGTCCTGCTACAATCATGCGGCAGGGGAATGAGTCAACGCATGGCCAAAAGTAGTCCCAAAGACCCCATATGGTCCACTGAAACCAGGGAGAGAATATCTGCACATCCTCTGTACAATTCACTGTGCCATTTGCCAGGAAGGACAAATCTGAACATGTTCCATGCCTGTGTCATACAGTTTTTTAAATTGCTACAAAAGAAATCAACTTTACAAGGAAATAGTCCATTAGAATTAAAGGCGCTTTGCAAAACTGCGTGATAATAAAGGAACAGAGCACACAGCACTTTTTAAATCTCACTCATATTAGTGTAAAACTTTTTGGCTCTCTCATGACAAAGTACTTTGAAAGGTATTTGAGCTAAAAGAAGACATGGACATTTTTCTTAATGATAATAAGAAGTATAAAGCAAATTCATTTTATAGAAAAAAAAACTTTCCTCCTGAAACTTATAATTGTTGGATTTTTTAAAAGAGCCTGAGTACAAGCATCACTGTAGGGTCCTTAAATTCATACTCTGAAGATAAAATTACTGCATTTAGTAAAATTTTAGATCTATGCATAACTAATTCACAAATAACATTTTTATAGATTTCTCAATAAAAATATACCTGCAATGCAAATGAAATAGAAGCAAAGAACCACTTGTTCATCATTCAACCAACTTACTGAATCAATTCTTACCTTATTTCAAAGCCTAGATATTTCTAATGATTAAGGAAACCAAATTGCCAAGAACAAATACGATACATTTGATCTTGTTCCAATCTGAATACGAAGAGTTAACAGACTTGTCTTGTGATAGTACACTGAATCAAGCATTTGAACCTGAAAAATCATATCTCCTTTTGACTACAGGTAGACAAATGGTTCTCTAGTTGATTAAATAAAGCAAGATAAAGTTTGCTATTCTTCATATGAGTATACCATATTCATGGGAATGGGGTTTTCTGCTTTTTTTCAATACAAAATGCTGACTTCACTTAATGGTTGGAAAATAATTGTGAATAGCAACATCATCAGTGACACCATATTTAAAAGACTTTTTGCCAAAAAATAAGCCCATTTATCAAATTAATAATATGATTATGGCTATTAGTTTATAACTTATAGAAATGAAAATTACTTAGGATTTTATCAATCAATAAATGTGATGTATCCTATGCTTTTACTATATGATTGATATTTGTTCATAGTTATAAAAATATAATTCTTAACTTTATTTGAATAAATATTAGTTGAGAAATTAGCTTCATTGATCATTTTATGAAAAGTATAGGTCAAAGACGTAAAACACAGGATATTGGAGTGATGGTGAGCCAAGTGCCTTAACCAGATTAAAATGTAATTAGGAAATTTTTATCAAAATAAACAAAAATAGAATAGAACATAATGTTAACATAAGTTTGTTTTTTAAAATCAATTTGCCTACAGGGACCCTAATGTAAGGTTTCGTGGTCCCTTTTCTGTTTGAGTTTGATACCACCTGTGTAGGGTATAATATTTTTTTTTAAATAAAAAAGTAGGAGCACTACATAAAATTGGAAAGCTTCAGAGCATAATGCCTTGCACACAGTATATGCTAGATAAACATTTGTTGAACTAGTAAATGAATATGGGTTCTAGATTATTTTCCTTTTCTCTGTCCTGTGTCTAGAATTCATTCCTTCTACACTTTCTCTCTCCTTTATTGCAGTCCTGAGAGGTTAAGAAGCATTACATCAATTTCTTTGTAACTGAAAAAAATAAAATAAAATATATACACACACATATATATATACACTGATTAGGATTTGTCCAAGACCAGCAACTTACTACATGAACCTTGTGTGAATTAGGGGGTTCAAACCTTTTTTTGGACTCACTAGCTAGTGTTAAGGAGAAAAGGAAATGAGAAAAAAGTAACAAGAATTAGAAATAAGACCAGCAAATAGACAGTCTCATCCCAATTTGAATCATTTAATATTTCTGAGATGCCAATAAAAACTATTATGCCCTCTGCAGACCTGAAAATGACCCAGAATCCCTGTCCACAAACCTCCCAAGACCATTCAAACTTCTTTTACTGTTTTAGCTTCTGCCAGGCAGAATGTGACTAGAGTGTGTATGTGGGTACTTCTCAGCTAACATCATTCTTTCCAGGTCACGGCCAGTCTCTAAACAGAGCCCCAGCGGTAACTATCAATACAAAGCAAGAAGGCAAGGAGTCAGTTAGTACACAGGAACATGGAGATCTTCCTGAACACATCTATAAGGCGTCAGCCCATCAGAACCATATGGTGACCAACTAAGAGAAAACCATAGGGCATCTAGAACAGTGGAACCAATACAGCCTAACTGTTGTCATAGAGATGCCAAAAGGACCCTATGTGGGTAATTTGAAAGATTGATTTTTTTGTGTGTATGCTTTCCAAAGCCTGACTATACACTATGTCATATTCGAAGAAAGAAGAAAGAGTTTTTAGTGGGGACAAAACAAAATACCAACACCATTTCCTGCCTCCTATTCATTCAACTTCAGTTGCCTCATCTGTAAAATGGGGATAATAACAGCACCCACTTCACTGGCCTGTTGTGAAGATCAAATGAAATAAAGTACTTTGCAAACCTTAACTATTGTTAGTATTACTAATACTCCCACTTTATGATAATAAGGGGTCTAGAAGGAGAAATATCTTTTAGCCTAGAGCAACGTATCTTTCCAAGTCTATTTCAAATGACCCTTCTCTAACACACTCTAAGTTGCAGCCAAACTGGACTACTAGCTATTTCCAAAACTCAATATTCCATTTCCTATCTCCCTAAGTTTAAACCAAACACATTTCCTCCTTATCTGTGCTCTCCAGAATCCTTATCTTCCTTCATAGCTCAGTTTAGGAGTTACCTCCTCCAGTGAAATTTTCATTCATCCATCCCACGCACCAGATGTTCTCTCTCCCTTCAAATTATCTGGTGTTTACTTTTCTATGTACCTGTAATATCATTCCCTTCTCCTACAACAAAATGTAAACCCCTCAAAGGCAGAGATATTTCACTTTTGTCTCTCGTCAGACACTAACAGAGAATCTTACACATAGTACGGGTTTAATGTTTGTAGAAGTGAATGGAAGGGTGACTTTCTGACACAAAGGCCACAAATAGACAACGGCATTTTCTTGACTTCAAGATATGGATGGGGGGAAAAGATGAAAGAACTAATGGAGCTAACAGCTAGAGATAGAAAGAAACTAAGAAAGTTGAAGATCTTGAACAATCCACATAGAAAGGTACATGTGATTTGTAGCTGGTACAACTAACAAAAATTAAACTCTCACCCAACTAACAAACATTAGATCAGCAGAAACTTGGTCTGGGGGAATATAAGGCCTCCTCACCCCAAGGCAAACAGTAACTCTGTATCATTAGCCAAACCTGATACCCTTCATGACTTGCATTTAAATTCCAGTGGTAGATCAGGGCTCTCCCTGCTGACTTTTCATAGTTTACTTATTTTCTCTCCTTGGGTACAAACCTAAGGGTAGAATATTTGTTTCCCCCCACACAGAGAGGGGATCAATTGTTCATCATCTTGTTTGTGTTGTGGACCCCTCTGACAGTCTGATGACACCTAATCACCCCTTCTCAGAATATTTTTAAATTAGTAAAATTAAATACATAAGATTAAAAAGAAAGTTAGTTATATTGAAATATGGTTATCAAAATACATATTTTAAAAACAAATTCATGGACCCCAGGTTTAAGAATCCCTATAGATGCTGAATAGATGGTTATTCTAACAGCAATAGGAATGAGATTAATTTGGCTCCAAGTAGCTGAATATCAGTGCGGACAGTCCTGTGGTCATAAAAACGGTTTACAAGTGCATATAGTTTATCATTCATCAGTATTTCTATAACAGATGAACAGTTATGGTGTTCATGAGCAGCCCTACAGCAGCTTACAGAAATGTGGAACAGACTGGCTAAGGAGGCAGTTCCAATTACATAGGAGCTATGTAACTCGTATGAAAACTGAGGGACATGTGTAAATTCATTGGAACGATGAGTGTCAGTAATGGAGCAAAACAAGTTTTGAAACAATGAAAACAATTGTTAGGCAACATTAAAAAAAATTTAATGTTTATATTTGTAGAGAGCAATGACTCCCAAAGGATTGGACATGGTCCCTGGGAGGTTACACTTCAGTCAGAATAATCTCTATATTCTTATGCTTTAAGGGAAACAAAAAGAGACCAAAGGCGTCTTAGGATACCATCTAAAAGCCTGCTGCAATTCACTGGCTTAACTGAATAGCAACAAAAGTGTCAAGTCTGTTCCTAATGCACAGTTGGAGTACTCTTGCCACCTAGTGGTCAGTGTATGATCCTACTCTACCCCATCCTTACCTGGAAGAGCCACTGGAGAACTGGGACAGGGCAGCTGGGAGTTTGCAAATAGAGATAACCAAGGAGCCCTTTTCGTAGGAAGGATACCTGCTCTGCAAATGTGAAGCTGCAGAGGCAAAGGGCAAGGAAATTAGACTTGGTGCCTGGGTACCAATCCTTTTGATACCTCCCCCCAAACTTCCTGCATTCAAAATATCGCAACATACCTCTATCAAGAGGGTCAATCAGCGAGAAAGAAAAAGCTAATAATGCTAATGGTTGGGTAAACGATGTTTTGTTCTTGGAGCCCTCTCTGTTCAATAGTATACATCTAAGCAAATCATTTCTTCAATGTGAGTCTCTGTTCTCTCAGTAATACTGAAAACACTTCTTTCATTTCTCCCTATCACTAGGTTTTTTGAGAATTACCAATGACAAAGATCTATGATTTCACTGGGAAGGATACTCTTCTCTCTACCAAGAGAAGTCATAAACTCTTCACAAGAAGATCGTTTTAAAAAGTCACAGTGGTCAAAGAATGCATCACTTTGTGGCCAAATTGGTGACTAACTTCTCCAAACTTGGCTGGACTGGTTCTCAAGCAGTCACTGCTTGTCATGGAAGCCTTTACAATTTGGTAGGACCTGCCAGAGCTTGCACTCTGTGGGGATGGCCTTCAAGAACCCAAATTCATCTCCATGCCACACCAAGGTAGCAAAGTTGGTTAATGGAAATTTATGAAGGTTTTTGGTTTTTTGTCTAAATCTGTGATTTCATTAGTATAGGGACCTCTAAGTGAGAAGCTTACTCTATCAATGCAGATGCGCAACTGTTTGCTGACTCAATGTCTTAGAGAGTAGCCTAGGGCACTGAGAGATTAAGTGATTTTTCTCTGTGTCTTGGAGCCAGTACATGTCAAACTAAGGACCTTGAATTCAGGTCTTCTTGACCCTGAGGCCTGACTCCACTATGCCAGTCCACATCTCTTATAAGCATTATCAATAATTAATATTGGCAGAATGCTTTAAGAGCTTCTGATACAGAGAAACACAGGAGGACAGAGCCCTGTATTATAAAAAGTACTTGCTTTTTATTAAAATATTTTACTATACTTTGCACACAATATTGAGCAATGAGCATTATTCTCTCCATTTTATAGACGAGAAAAACTGAGGTATTTTGACAAATTTGAAAAAAAAAGATTTGAGTATCAGAACTGAAGTGAGAATTTAGAAGTCACGTAACTCAATCTTGGGTTTTATGCCATAGACACCCTTTTTTTTTTTTTTTTTTTAGGCAATTGGGGTTAAGTGACTTGCCCAGGGTCACACAGCTAGTAAGTGTCAAGTGTTTGGTCTGAGCTCGGATTTGAACTCAGGTCGTCCTGACTTCAGGGCAGGGGCTCTATCCACTGCACCACTTAGCTGCCCCTCATAGACACTCTTAATGGACAGAATTAGCAAATGAAAGGATGTGGTGAACACGAACAACATATCTGGGTCTAGTTTCACACAGTATTTATATAGCATTTATATATTTTTTTTTTGGTAAGGCAATTGGGGTTAAGTGACTTGCCCCAGGTCACACAGCTAGTACGCGTAAAGTGTTTGGTCTGAGGCCGTATTTGAACTCAGGTCCTCCTGACTTCAGGGCCGGTGCTCTATCCACTGTGCCACCTACCTGCCCCTAGCATTTGTATTTTTCCAAAGCAAAGGAGATACCTAAGAAGATGGGAAAACTGACACAAAAATGCCCAGAGTCAGGGGGAATTTTGAGCAAGAAATAACAAAAGAGGATTCAATACTGAATAGTCAAAGCAGTTGGCTCAAAGCCAACTCAGACTGTTATTCTGAGTCTCCATATATAGCTATGAGCATAAGCCTCTTCTTCCATTTGACCCCTCACCATGTTTCTCCCTTTTAATATATGCTCTCAAAAATAAAATGATTACTACAGGAAGAAAGCCTCTTTGATTACATGTTTAGTAATTTCCACAAACATGCAGGCTAGCCAGAGGGAAGTTAGGAAAACTGAGGAATTGAGAATTACGAATTCTAGTCCTGCTGAGTTGCTGATTTGAAAGGATCCCAGATACCTTTCTATAAAATGAAGAGGTAGATGAATCTTTATAATTAACATAAAATATCAATATATATAAGTTCTATGAGGTAGCATGATATAGTGGCTAACATGCTGGACTTGAAATCAGTAAGATCTGGGTTCAAATTCTAGCTCTGGCACTTACTAGCTATGTGACCATGGGCAAGTCATTTAACCTCTCCTGAACCTCAGTGTCCTCATCTGTAAAATATATATATATATATAAAATATATATAATATATATATATATCTTTTTACTTCCCCAGAACTCTGCAACAAGAGCAGATTCTTTAAACATATGTGTGTGTATGTATATTTAATTTAATACAGAGTATCCCAACAGTCTTAAAGCTATTAAAGCTTGTAATTGTATGAAGATTTTTGGGACACCCAGTATGGTTTAACAGGTATATCTTTGCAATATGATGTCAGCAAAAGTGTTTTAGGACCCTCTGCTGAAAATCATTTAATATTCACTCTTGCTAAGATTTCATTGGTTTGAGAACTTCTTCCACTCAGGCAGACTGAAAGCCATCTAGTATTTATAGTGAAGGTCAGAGAGGGTAAGGGAATCATCCATCGACACACAACTGTGAAATGTCAGAAGCTGGAGTTCAACCCAAGTCTTCTAGATTCCAAATCTAACATTTTATCCACTATGCCAGACTCCCTTCTCTTTTGGTAACAGTACATATTAATAATATATTTTGCATAAAATACCAGACTAGAACATAGATTTTAGATCTGGAAGATACTTAAGTGCTTATTTATTCCAATTGCCTTTTTCTACAGATGGGGAAACTGAGGCTCAGAAAAGTTAAGTGACTTGTCCAAGGTCACATGGGAAGCAAGTAAATAATAACAATATATTTACATCTTTGGTAATGTGTTATTTCTCTCTGAAGATTATATGGGTTTTGAGTAAGTTTCATCTTCTAATATATGTCCATACCATGTATCTTATCTTGAGATAATTTAATATGAATTTACAAAAGTTGTGATGCTTCTGGCTTCTTATTATGGCCAAATGAGTCCAAGGAAAGTTTCAAATGGCATTTAAAATCATGACCCTAAAGAAAAAGATCTTCACAGAAATTTCCTTTGTCTCATTTTTTTTTTAAATCAAGGTATTTTAAGTGGCTGGGAACAGAGTGCTCCAAAGTGAATTTTTCTCTCACGCCAAGCTGCTGTCTCCCTAAGTATATTCAAGCAATTTTGCAAAAACCCTTCTCTTAAATCATTTGAAAATTCTGAAAAAAAAACCTTTCTTCTGTTACAATCGTTACTCCTTGAAAATGCACCAATATTCTTGCTCACAACTTAACCATGAAAATACTGTGCACAAATATGTATATAGGCAAACATTGTGATGCAGAGAGACATAGTTAAGGGTACACACAGGCCCAGATGTATAGATCCGAGTATACAAAAGGCAGCCACATCTGCAGGACTATGCAAATTGGCAATGACCCTGCCAAAGGGCATATGGTCAGGAAAGGAAATGAACACAGTGATTCTGAGACTATTTAGTTCAGCTCAAAGAGCTCAGCACTATGGCATTCTGGCTAAAGGGCACCCTGCCAGCTTCTCAATGGGGGAATTGACTGGATGAACCCCTGTTGGCTCAGATCAACACATTTCCAACTGATGCTGTAAGAAAGAAAGCCCACTTCCAGCCACATTTCTCTTCTGCTGCAACAGCCTTAGAGGGCAATTTTTGCTAGAAGAATTAGCTCTCTCCCCTCAGCTGCTGAATTAAGCTGCAATCTTTAAGGCCAGAAACAATAGAGGGAAAGAAGATGGTATTATTGTCGCCCTGCCTGGGAGGAAATGACTTTCAAGGAATTCTTTGTTTAGAGCTGGAGGAGATACAAGGGATCTCCTTTGCAGGTTTGAGCCAAGCCAAGTCAAGTTGGCCTCTACCTCAGATTTCTTTCACCTCAGCTGAACTATGAACTATTTAACTTTATTCTGGAGAAAAGAGAGGGACTGAGGCACAGACAAAGTTATGGGCAGAAGACTAGAATCCAGGAATCACATTTGACTATGACACTGGAAAGAAAAAATCCGACAGAACTCTGGATAGCCCAGCCTTGAAGGAACAAGGAGTGCTGAGTGCGTGTAGAGAAAGCCACAATAAAATTAGCAAAATCCACATCATGTCCAATAATATGAAATGGCCCTAATATTTGCAAAACTTATGTTGGATTGAAATGATGTGATCATTTCCCTGTGAGAACCCTGCTCACCCCCCCCCCCCCCCCCCCGTAAGAAAGCTCAAACGAGGCCCAGAAGCAGTTCCAAGCATGTCTGGAGATGAAGGAAAAGGAACAGAAAGGATAGTGCCTCCAACTAAGAGCAGATAACAGAGGCAATCTTCAGGCCTGTCTGAAGTTTGCCAAGTGCCTAAAACAGCTGTCAAAGTCTGATCATTCCTTTCAAGAGAGGCTTTTTTATCTCAGGCACTCAGAGAAGAGGAAAAATTGCTTGTGCCAGTACAATCTACCAGTGAAGGAAAGAAAGATGGAGAAAAGAATTAATCATGAGCTAAAAAATGCTAGAAGACTGACCTGAGTCCTCTGGGGTCCAGTCATGAACCCTCAGGACCATGGGACTCATCCAATTGGCAGCTGAAACTGTCCATATGTGTCATTCCCCACATTAAAATGTGAGCTCATTTGAGAGCAGAGACTGTCTTTTCTACTTGTAGCCCTGGTTTCTAGCACAGAGTTTTGCCCAGAGCAAGTGCTTAATAAATGTTTCTATTCAATCATTCAATTTAGTAAAACCCTAGACTTCATGGTGATGCAGAAGAATTCTTGGTATCTATTTTTGATATGGCCTGGGGAAAGTTGGCTCTCCTCCCTATCCCTTCTCCTGTGTAAGCGGACAGTTGTCCTAGGGAGTAACAACTCCAGACTGCTTTGGGAATCTCAATGATGTCTGGATAAGCACCGAGTGCAGCTGTTGATAGAACACCTGTTTCTGTGCATCTGTAAGGTTTGCCAGGTGTAAGTTTAAATAAAA